TTTTCTAAATATAAATTTTATGGGTTTGAAAGCTTTTTTACTTGAAATCTTATATGTTTTGCGTATAGCATATAAAAGTCTATTCACGGTAAGATCTCTGATACAAATGTGTATGATTCGCCCGTTTTAAAGAAGATCTATAGCCATATCCACCGAACTGTCCATCAACTGTTGTCAGTTTCTCACAATGAGATTGTGGTTCTTATTTTTACTAATAGTGATAATGGGATTTCTGCAAAGCTTGCAGGATTTATCAATAGACTTTCGAATCTGTATAATTATTTATTTAAACTGCGGAAATTGTTACATCGTGATTGGAGGGCACTTCTGAACAGTTATGAACCTATATTAGATAAATATTAAAAAAAAGTTGCTTGTTAACCAATCGAAATAAAAAAATTGTCCACACTGCAGAACGTACTGCCATTACAGATCTATTTAAAAGGCAAAAAATATACACATGCATTATTGCGGTGGCTTCAAGTAACTTGAAAAATCCAAGTTTCTTTTTAACGAAGGCATGTTAACTTGGTCAATAGAAAACTATTGCGTGCATCGAAGTTGGTCTATATAATAATAAGTTATAAATAAAGATAAAAAGATGCGTTGATAGTTGATAAGTTTTACAAGAAATTACGTCTTCGCTTTCTTTTTCTAAATTTAACCATTCGAAAAATAGAAGAAAAAGAACGAAAAAATATAGATAGTAAAAAAAATAAAGTAATCTTGTAGTGCAGGTCGCAGTGGCTCTTACAACAGGTTATGACAGAGACAGCCGATTTCAGCAACATCGTATGAACTATATGTGTGTATTGTATGAAAATGAAGAATATGTGCACACAGGCTCAACAATGTAAAAACAAACGGTCATTAGAATGTGCTTAACATAAAATGGCCTACTGGATATTGCATAGTAGAATTTGGCGTTCTATTATATATCGTATAGATAATATAATTAGTTTATAAGGTAGATGACCGTTGAGTATGAGTGAGCGATTTATTATAAAATTGCGGAATATATCTGGCAGTAGCAGCATGGGAATGTTGACCAGCGTCGCTATTGGCGCAGAGTAAGGAGGGCTTACAGTGAGCTGGCAAAAAGCCTATTCGTAAAAAATAGTTGCAGATAGTGATTACTAGACAAGTTTATTCTTAGTCATCCTCAGTCTCGTAAATGACTTTTAATCACCTGTGGTGAACATGGCACTATATATAGGTTTTAGCTCGTTGAGCAGAGTTATTATTTTGATATACTACTATTATAGATATGACAGGATATATTCGTAACGCAGGGTTTCAACCTGTAACACAGAACGTCTGCCATTGGGCTGTTTAGCATGTTTAGGTGGAAGCTCGTGGCGTACAATGTACGTGCACCAGCCCACGGTAACTATCCAGTGGCATCACAAATAGAAACACAAAAAGAACATAGGTGATTATGACTGCTATATAAGACGGAACCAAATAATAAAGGTGACATAATATTTTATATTCGTATTATATAGTTTAACTATTGCATTCCTAGACTTTGTGTTTATAATTATGGCGCTCGTGTCGCAAGAAATATTTAAAAGGAAATATATATATATATATATATATATATATATATAAAGCTTTCCCTAGAGATTCTGATGGTACGCAGTTTCCGTTTAAGAAATTACAGGGAATGAAGGGACGACGCACTATATTCGCTGGATACAACAAGAGGCCCTGCATCATTTATGGATATATTCACAAGTATTTACTCGACTTTGAACGACACGTGTCTATTTATCTAATCCGCGCCATAGACGCATCGTTGTAAAACATTAAGCATATTTAACGGTCGTTACCTGCTGATTCGTTTGTTGCTCACGAATAGCTTTTAGGCTTAGTATTTGCCACTTTGATCTTGCCTGTAAGCCCGCCTTCGAGTCCCTTCCTACTGTTTTCACATATTAAAGGTCTAGCTAGCTAAATGTTTAAAATCACCTTAGATCTGGAGCTAATTAGGCAATGAGGAAGAATCTTTACCCATTCATACTTATGCTAATTCGGATTTGTAAAACCTAAGGTGTAAGAAAAGTGTTTGCACTTTAAATGCCTTCACGCTGTCAGCTTATGGCTTACCACAGTCGGCTATAATTTTTCGTTTTTTCTTGGGAGTTCTGCTATACGAGGTCATTAAGTCGATGTTCTTCCGATTCGTTTTGATCTTGATTTTCGACTTCGCTCATTGATCACTGCTCGCCTCACAGTTACGTATAATCTGTGTCAGTCCGTCACTTGTCGACTTTTCGGTGTATATATATATATATATATTTGTGGTGCTTCACATCGACGACGTATGCGAAAACCGCAGTCTTCATGTCTACTGTTTTAGATTGTACTGTTCCATTTCTATTGCTCTACCGCTTCGTCCCAACAGATATATTTAAGTGATTAATTGGCAAAACGCATTATCTAGTGGGTAACATGTAGTCGCTTAGAACTCAAGCTACTCTCTTCCTTTAACGGAGCGTATCACAGGTTCATCTCCCATTATCATTTCATTAGAACGGCTAGAAAAAGGCCGTGGTCGCTGATGGCCTTATGAAAATTAATTTTGTGAATCATCTTGAATTTTGTCCACAACTTTACACACGTGGGCAATAAAGAACCAAGCAATGGCGAGCATCACCACACCCGCCAGTATCGCATCGCTTACGGGCATCTGGCTCGGTGGTCGGAGAGCAACGATAACGGCGTGGTTCACGATATAGGCAACACAGGTCGCTATCTTTCCTGGTATATTCTCCTCAAGTTCCATGCCAATTAGTGACAACACAAGCAGTTCCCAACAGCCAATAAACTGTACCACTGCAAAAGGCAGAAAAAGCCAATCGTATGAATGTGTCAACTGTTGCCAATACAATGCAGCTCCGTTTACCTAGGGAAATTATTTAGTATGGTGATGATTTTTTATGTCACTTGAAAATCGTAATAACAAAGTGAACTTCCACTCCTGATAAGATGTTATTGCCATTGGCCATGCTGTCAGAAACATAGCACACCCGTCTGAATGTATAATTGGAACATCGGCCTCTTCAGATATTGTATAAAGCTCTGAGATTATTAAATACGAACAAGTACCTATCAAACTAGTAAGCATCGTAATTAATTCCGTAGTGAAAAACAAAAAACAGAACTCTTGGACGTCTGAAGGTTTCAATTCAGGTATTACTTCGTGTCCTTCGTTCATATCTCGTCTCAGTTACAATAGCGGCAAGGCATGTATGATGACTGCACAATGATCTGCACTTTGACATAGATCTGTCTAATAGAAAAACTAAAATCGGCCGCTGCTAAAAGATGTCGCGAAGGAGCAAATGACTTCATTTAGGAATAAAAAAAAAGCTAATGCGTTTCTGTTACAGTAACGTGGCTAATTGTGATTTGTGTTTGAAGCACGCTATACATCAGGATGAGGTTGGACGACAATAAAGGATTCGGTACGACAAACAGAGCAACACGATAACACCAATAATTTAAATGGCACCTGTTATCAGTTTCTTACTTGCTAAGATAAATCCTGCCGCAGACTCGACAATTACAGAAAGAACAGCACAGAAATAGGCGAACGCAATGATGAATAGTGATCCAAATATGGAAAGCAATTGAGCCGAGGCTTGAACGCGGGGGAACGTCGCACCCAGGGAGAATACCAACGTTGCCAAACTGAAATTGCACAAATACGTGTATCAAACCAATTGTTAGATGTCAGTAGATATTGGTTCATTTATAAAGCCGAATATTTATCTGCGCTGCATAATGTTCTTCTACGTTAATGCTTGCAGACCAAGTTTGCTGGCGGCTAAAAAAATAAGTTGTTCAAACTTATTTAATTAATATGAATACTTTTTTTTAATTAATGCATAGGAATACTTTAGTATAAATCGAAAGCATACGGACATTAATAGAAATTTATTTAACCTATATTTCAACTACGTTTTTTTCTTGAACCTACATAGCTCCGTAGATGCCGTAATATTGTAAGTAGAAACTTTTACGAGCTAGGACCTTGTGTACGGGTGGCAGGTACATTGCAACAGCTATTGAAAGTGCTATTAAACCCAAAGGAACACTGAGTCCAACAAGGACTAATCGGGTCACCGTCGCGCGTGACGGCGGTGTTTTTTCTTCTGTTTTTGATGCGTCTACTCCATTCGCACCACCTGTGAATTGCACATTCAATAGAGTGAAATGTACATAGTGTGTTTATTATTCGAAACACGTTCTGTTAGTCTGTTCGCTAGACGTTCGGCACGCAAACCCCCCAACCTCGACTTAGAAAAAGTCCTAATTAATAAATTAGGCAGTGTGTGAAGAATGGTGATCTATTACATTTTTCAATACGTTAGATCATAGCGCTAGGTAAGCAGGTGGATGTATGCCAATTGTGTTCAGTGCTTACCGCACACTGGACCGCCTTTGCCGCCAGGTTTCATCCAGAACGATAATTCTTCTTCACTAGTTGTAGGTGTCGCCATTGAAATTTCCTTAAAAGCACGTAAAAGCGGCACTTACTGTATAACTAATGCACATGTCCAATATGCGATAAATTGCTTTGAAATTTAGTTAAGCACAACATATTTCTTCCTCTTTTTAAATCCTAATGTGGCACCTTTCGGATTAAGAACGTAAATCACCTTGTACTATATATATATATATATATATATATGAGTAAAATCCTGGTATAATTATGTTCACGCTTTAATAAAGCAGTTTTTATTACACGATGAATAGACAAGACGTTTACTACGGCATAGAGAATACACAATTGGATAATATACAGTAATAGAACTTTGCCGCAATGCTATTAGGTTGGAAAGAAACTTTCTGTTTGTTTCATTTAATAACTTTCTTTTCCCCTTCGCTTGTTGCCTACTTTTTACACATCTTTCGAAAGTGCTTTTCCACGCTTTTCCTTCTGAACGCTTTTGTATTGTGGGTGCAACTCTAAGGCAAAAGCGCTTTTCAAAAATTCATATTCCAAATGGAATAAAAGTGTATTTTCGATATTTTTTGTACTACGTTTTTCGTCAAGGCCAAAACGCTGCAGAAACGCAAGCCCGGAACGTTTGTGTTTCGTACGACGAGGACGCTATGGTTAAAAGGACCGCTAAAGAGTGTTTTATTAAATCTAAAGACGGTATCTGAATCCTAGAAGATGTCCCTACTCTGGTCCAGTGCCTCAACGAGCGTTTAAATGTATCTTTGAAGAAAGACGACCCTCAAACAACTTGAGGATTGGCCGAAAATATGGGCTGCAATTACACAACTGTCGTTAGCCGTTACGTTCCTTAAGTTTGCATAGGAATTTGGAGCTTAGGTATTTCATGAACTCTCCGACTTCAACAAAAAAATTACTGCTTAAAACTGCATTTAAAGATCTCACTCGGTATCGAGCATCACGCGGTCACAACGATATATTTTTGCACATAATCGTCATCGATGATGAAAAATGGGGCCTGTATCCCAAAGAAAAGAACCAAAGATCGAAATATGTGGATCTAAGAGGCCGCCAAGCCCAAGGTCCAGCCAGATTCGTCGGCCAAAAAATGTATGCCTCGTATTTGGTAAGATGGCGAATGGCTGGTCCCTACGAGAGTTACTTTCTTTGAGCGAGGTAGTCGATCTACACGTTTAGCTAACCCACTTCATTGAGTCAATGAAACTGTTCAAAAGAACAGAACCGAAAAACGAGGTTTGCGAATTTTGCTCCATAATAACGTTAGACGGCACACGACAAATATCGTCCAAGTTGCCCTCCTGGACTTTTTATGGGTTTTCTTGCACCCTTCACATTTTCCGGACCTTGTATCGATAGATTTTCATCCTCGGGCAGTCGCCTTTGTGGCCTTACTTTCGTACAAACCAACAACTCAGGACGTCGTTCGAAAGTCTATTCAAGAAGAATCTCGTCACCTACCGCGAGACGGTATACATCATTTGGTAGAAAGATGATAAAAATCCGTTAACAATAACAGAGGGCTCATATCATAATAATTTATTCTTACGGGAATAAGAAAAAGTGCTGTTTTTTTTTTCAAAGGGAATCAGGAAAAGTGCGCGAATTCCTTTTTTAACCAAGTATATTATGGAATGTGACTGTGGGTGCGTACGTGGTGGAGCGGGGGTAGCCGAGAATCGTGAACAATAACGAAGACCGCATAACATAATAATTGATTGCTACAAGAATAAAAAGTGGGGTGCTTTCCATTTGATGAGGAAGGTGCGGGACTTTTTTTCTGACTGAATACATCAAATGTAACTCAAGTTAGAACAAAAAATCTTCGCAGTTCTCTGGACATTTTCATTCAGTTTGGCATGTTTGCATCTAGGCTACGGCAGATATAAGGGGATAGGCCAAATATATTGTCGTTAGTGGAGTCAGATAACATTGCAGTTCTCGTAAGGGCTCGCGTTTACGTATATCAGACTGCTACACGAAGGAACGCATGCTCTAAAGCAAGCCAGGGAATCGACAGGCAAAATAAGAGATAAGGCTAATATAAGAGATTGTGGGTCTATATCGGTCAAAATTGAACCGAATAAACGAACGTAACCGTTGCGACCAGTCCATCTCACAAAAAAAGAAAAAGTAATAACTCGTTTACCTTGTGCTTTAGAAAAGAGAATACAAATTAAAGACGCTAACGTACTTGACCAGGGGTGCGTATGCATATGAACAATAATTCGTTCGTTTATGTGACCTACAGGTGGGGCTGTATGAACCACAGATGATCTTGTGGGAAAAAGTCAAATATTTCACAAACCTAGGGGAAAATTGGAGGTTGAATAGTCCAAATGATGAAAAACAAAAAAAAAAAAAGATTCGCGATCATGAATCATACGCGGAATGTTCTTATAAATGTGTCGGCAATATTATTTAGTCTAAATGGCGCGCTGTGCCAATACAGTTATCAGAATTTCTTTTTAAGGCGGTTACATGTGACGCGTTGCTGATAAGAACGACATGTGCCACCGATAATGCGAAGATACGACGTCTCAGTGTACTTTACCACATATACGTATTTCCAGTATTCACAGCTTCAACTCCCGTTAACGATACGTACCACACAATTTTTGCAAAAACAAAATTATTTACATCGGCTTAGTGTAGCTCTAGTTTCTTATCAAACTATTACTCAACGGCTTCTATATTCGTATACACTCAAAATTCTGGTTCAGGGTCCTCATGCAACACGGACCAATGCAGTGACTGTAATAAAGAGCAGTTTGCGTTCAGTTTGCTCATGTAGCTCTGCTGCTGGCGGATCCGTGATACGAACATTTTACTTTTTTTTTTATTATGGTTAAACAAAAACTTAACAAACTCAAAAAATACTTAGCTGTCCCAAACAGCTTTATCTTTCAAGGAACAACTTAAGGAAATCCTATTACTGTTACACCAAATTTTTTATCAGCATCGCATCTAAAAACTCTACGAATATCGATTTTCAAAATAGTTAAATAACAAAAAACGTTTCAAGATAATAAAAAAAGATAATTCATACAACCCCACTATTCTCGACTGAACGCGGCAGTGCATCCCCCATAATAAACGATAGACCATTCTAATAATTATCAATCATTTCGTCCTGCCAATTAAGAACCGTCGCAGTACTGAACTGGAATCTTGTATGACACAATAGCTACAACTGATTACATCAACTCCGACATGACAACAAGATGCTAGCAAACGACCGTGCTCTTGTAACTTGAAGGCCACTGTCGTATTACTGCCATTTCATTCCCACTAGGTAACGGCGCACGAACGCCATTGGAGATAACTTAATTGTAGCTTAAGACTTCAACATGGCCCACAAACATCGATAATAACAACTGGCGATCACAACAACGCAACAGTAACAATGATTGATCAATATGTACAAGGAAGCTTCATCTTGGCGGCTCTTACTTACCACACTACTAGTAGATGTATCTCTATATAGGGAACGCAATGTTCGGTCCCTGTTACGGCGCCAAAACGTAAAGTTGAACGAGGACGGGGTCGAGAGGTTGGAAACGGACAGATACGTCCAGAGTAGATCAGCTGCACGTTGAGTGTTAAGTGGAAGCACCGCTGGTAAAAGCACTTCGCAGGTAAACATCCAGGTTGGCAAGGGCCGCCCAACCTATCACGAGTAATGCGCACCACAATAGCTGAATAAGGTGGTAGTACCATGTATTGAAGAGGGGGTCTGTTTGCTGCTCGTTCGCACTAATACAGAGCAGCGGTCAGCTCAAGCACTTAATATTACAGGGTGCAGTTAAAGATGAAGGCCAGTACACAAGGGGAAAAGAAGAGGAGCACGACCAAGAAAAACGCCTAGATGCAGCATACGTGTAAATTAGAGGAAATTCGAACGTAATGGACGAAGGAAATCCACCACCACGATCACCACTTGGCGTTCTGTGGCGTCGCTGAGGAGCGAGAGGGCGTTGGATGTAACCTTGGTAGTGGGGGTACGAAGTGCCACGACCGTCTGTGGGTCAGGAGACGACTTGACGGACTTGGTGGGTCTCTCGAACCTCCCTTTGGTCCCCAACCTCTGCAAAGCATCGGGCTGCAAATTGGCAACGAGCCAGGATATTTTTCAGCGTGGGTCAGTCTGAAGGCTGAGGGGCTAAATGCAAAAAGGGAAAGCCGGTCCGAGGGGCAAGAATTGGCCAGACTGGGGACACAGTGGTCTAGACAGAATAACACAGCACAGAAGCGAGTGAATGTGAGTTCAGAATAGGAAAATACGAGCAGGATACAATGATTTTGTAAAAAAAACAACGACAGTGATTTGAAATTGCTCTTATTTAATGATGTGATCAGTGTTGGAGGACATCAAACGATTACGATATCTACATACGTGATGCAATGGAAGTATCGTATACGGATTTGCACACTGGCATCATAGGCGGGCTCATATATCTATTTTGTAGAAGTACCGCGACGAGAAATCAAATAGTTTATGCTTCTTTTTTTCTAATGTCGTGTCGTTGACTAAACATTATAACCTTAGGGATATAAATGTGGTTATTTACTGTTAGCTTTAGATGTAATTACTACGGTACGTTTCCTACTTTAGAATCAAGTGATAAAACAAATGTTGTTAATACCTTGCTCAAATTATCAATTAAAGTTCAATGGTGAGTTTCGATGTAACGCCCGAGTCACGCCATCTATTGAAGTATGGTAATACAGCTTTTGTCTCTGCAGGTGGCAAAGGCCATGGAACCAATCGTATAGCGTATCTATACTGTAGAACAACTGGTTACCAGACAATAAAACCGCGTGAAGACCTTAAAAGTCGCACATCATAACACTTTTAATTCGGGATTCATTTCGTAAGTTTTGGTCTTCAAGATAATTTTTTAAGATAACGAAGAACTTATCTTGTTTTTGCTGATTATTAAATCAATAACGGTGTACAAATATGTTAACTGTGCGGGCATTTGCCGCTGCTTCTATAGTTATATCAACCAATACAATGGAAAATAAGATCTTACTATGCACAGCAGCGGCCATCGAGGAGGCCTTGCAGTGTTAGTTGATCTGTTGAACTAGTGTCCAATACTCGTCTTTTTCTATCTACGTATATAGGCCATCGGTATCTATCCCTTGAAGAATTGATGGAGTTTAATGGACATTGTGTGGGTGACAGTAAGTGGTACCAATGATATTTTGTCATAAAAACAGAGTGTCATAGAGGGAGCTCAGTAATCATACAAAAAACAAATTATCTAGCGCAGTATTTAGCACAATTCAGTTCCCTTCAATCCAGTCAAATAGAACGCGCCGCAGAATTGGAAGCCTCGGCCTAAGTCTCTGTTTAGCCTATTATTCGTCGGATTCTTAGTAATTCTACTTAGGTTCTGATATGCTGTTAAGAAGACGCTTGAGGTTGCGACATAGGTTATTGATCGGCATAAAAAAAACATTTCTTCATTAGAGTATCATGTTAAGTGCTCCGAATAGACTCAAGCAAAGTACATACTCAAAATAAAAGCTTCTATAGTTATGCTAGTTGAAACGCTTCGAAAAAAATGACCGTATATATATGGTCCCGAGGTAGCCATGAGAAGTCGCCAGTTGAAACTCGATGATTATTTCAAACCATTCAAAACCTATCTCGCAACAATGTTTGATCCCGTTCGTCACATATTTCCAGCGATCTCCATACGCCAATACTAATAAAATGTACTAGAAGATGCTTCAAATGTATATTAAAATAAAAATTTATCCTCAGTCAGCCAGCGGACGTGAGGTTTACAACAAATATTTTTGAACATCGTTGGAGAAATTACTGAATTCTTTTCCGTTGGCTATTCGTAAACACTAAGGAAGCAATTGTCCTCTCTCTATTATATATGCAAATATAGAGAGATTTTAAAGTGTCCCATGAGTGTGCTAATACTTCGTTTTAAAGCTTATCCGTATGCTACATTTAGTATTCCTGCCGGTACTTCTTGGACACCTATCTGATGAGGATGAATGTTGATATCTCGTATATTTAAGAGCGAATAGGTATACTGTACAAATCACACGTCCGACGTCATTTCATTCATTTCACTGCAGCCTAGGCATCGCCATGTCAATTTTCAGATTAAATCGAACAAATTTAATCAATGGTCCTAACATGAAGACTAGGACTAACTTTTCACTGAACCCCCTGGCTAATTACCACGTGGCAAATCTGACGTCCATTTAATTAGTTTTCAATTAACGATAGTAACAACAATCGTTCAACTCAAGCCACTTAAAAGAATCTGCGGCATCTTCGATGAGATGTTCGGTGAGACGGTTTCAGTACTTATCGAATCGGACTTGTTCTTTCTGTGCGAAGAATTCAAATACAAACTTCTAGAAACATCATTTGTCTTCACTAGATTATCTGGGGGGTAGATTTATTTCAGACAGTGGTTAGTGTGCGATCTTGTGGACTTTTCACTGTAGAGGAAAGCGGATTGCACTCGAAGCTATCTCCTAGGACAACTTCCTCTTACTTATATCATGATATCCATAAAAGGGTTGCCTGTTAAGCATCGATCTGTGCCAAAAACAACAAAGTTTAGTACAAGCAATAAGAAATCACTGTGGGTAAGCGCTTGAGTGATGTATATATATATATACGCAAAATAAATCCAGTAAATGCAGTCTTCCACACAAACCTCGTTTGTTTAGTTTATTACATATAGATCAATCATATACTTGTCCTGCTACCATGTACGCTATTCGTTTAATAATCACAAAACTAACTGCATGTAAAAAAAATGATTAAATACTGCGATGTTGCCTCATTGCCGTTCATTACTGTTGAACTAACTAAAAACGACTTTTTTCGTCCTCCGATCGGTCACCATCAATGTCGACCCTCTATTGGCAGCAGTTTCTCGTCCAAGGCAGCCTTCAGTAGTTACAGGACGGTCATTTGCTGGCTGACCAAGACGATTTTGACAATCGTCGTAGCGTAACTCCTGGAATTCGGCTAGCAGAGCCGTAATCGTAATCACACGTATTCTTTTGTATGTATCGTGTACTTATTCTCAATCTACACGGATGAATTCCACGTATTTTTCATTTTGCTTTTTAGCTTTTTTTTTTTGTTTTTTCTCTACGTAGAGTACTTACGGCCAACGCTATGGCGCGTACAACATCGCGTTTCGATGACGTTACATGAGGTAAACACACTCGTCGAGAAACGTCGTCGATAAACGCCAGTACTCGCTATGAGCAACGATAAGATGCGAAGCTAGTAGAAACGATCAATGGGGAAACCATTGAGCTGACGCATAGCATAAAGTGGTTCACGGTTGAATTAAAGAAAAAAATTAGCAGATACTGTCTCTTTCAGTTGCTCTTTATCCCGCTGATAGACTGTGTAGTGATTTAGTAGCGGTTTGCAGTGATACGAATGATGAAACGGCACACATTGTGACACTGGATCGTCATTCATTCACAGAAGACGATTCCGACGACTGTTTCTTATAGCTACTAACACTCGATGATATGTTACATGTATCGTATTGATAATGTCAATGATATTGCTATGTTATGTCGGTAGAAGTTCAACTTGACCCAACGCTCTGTGATCGATAGCATTTGAATAAGTTCTATTTGACAAAGCACACCTTCATGGACGAAAATTTTGAAAAATGTACTTATACAAGTACATCAGGGAAAAATACGACAGACGTGGCAGTGACAGAGATCGTATAAAAACGATATAATTATGTAATACCATGGAGGTGAAACCAATATATTGTAGACGTATCGCGATAGACTCGTGTTTTTTTTTTCTTTGACTATTTCACACACTGGCTTTTGAGCGACAAATCTGTATGGCAGCACAAATCAAGCGTGTTTCACTAGTGGAAACACGGATACGTTTTTACGCTGAACTAGCTTGGTGTTTTCCGTTACCATTAAAACGTATGACACAGCATATTACTATCACAAAATATGAAAATCAAAGCTCATCGGCTGAGTAGCTTCTGATATCTAATACAGGCACCGTGGTTTCAAGCAATCAAATTGGTTGCTAGTCAAATATTTATAAAAGTATATACAAATTAAAGTATTGACAATTGCATGGCCCGTCTATTTGTAGAGCCTTTTTAAGCTTTTTAGTGAAGGTTATAGTAATTGGAGTAACCAATTCGAATAATACTCCAAGGAGCCAGCCATGCTGCATTTTATAAAAGTTTTTTGATTTCTCTTTGCCAGTGCCGAAAATCAAACTATATATGAATATATATATATATTCATATATAGTTTGATTTTTATATATATATATATATATATCTTCACAAAAGTGTGCGCAGCAAACGGTTGATTTCGTCCTTTACATGGGGCGGTAGGGAAGAGTAGTCGATCTTCGTTTGTTGCCGTTGACTCGATTGATTTGACTTTTGCTTAAGACTCCGTAATCTCTTTCAAAAGAATATTAGGGATTAGTAGCTAAACCGATATTACTATTGGGAAATGTCTCAAAAATCAGTATAGTATACAGGCGTATTTAGCTAATGCAAATACCACCGTACCTTGTATCCGTAGCATATTTCAGGTAATCTCAACGCTGCCCAAAGCAGTACACTTTGTGTAAGCCTTACTTAAACTACTGTTGAACAAAGCAGTACGATGTGAGCTCCCGTCTGAGGGCGAGATTTTCCCTAAACGTGTGCAAGGGGCATTGTAAGTTTCTCAGCTGCAAATTTAGCTTGTTTACTATATAGATTTGTATGACTGTATGTTAGAGTATGATATGTATATGATGTATATTAGAGATAAAAAAGATCTTAATCAAGATTATAATATGTATATGTCTATTCTGTTTTTGATTAGATATTCTCCGAAACCCAACTGTTTATAAGATAAAATTTTAAGATACAAACCTATTATCAGGATGAATTTACGATACGATAACTGATAATAACTCGACCTCAGCGGTCCTATTTCTAACGTTTCTGGGAGTGTGATCGCATATATTCATTTTCTGTGCAAGGGTTATGTCGATGAAAATATCGTAAAATGTACCGTTTTCAGAATGCACAGTTTATGTCAACATACGTTAGAGGGTATGTATCCACACTGGCCCATGTAACTGTTATCCAAAATCGTGAGTTGCACCTATCATCTATATATAGATCAAAGGATGCAATCGACCTCGTGTCGACCTTAAACAACCATTACCTTTCTTCCCGATCATTTCCGGTAATGAGTTTTATATTAATTTGACGATTTTGCGTTACGATCGTGAAACTTAATTGACAGGTGTTAGTTTCGAAAACAAGTCAGAGCCAACTCGATTTGTTCGTCTATCTACCGTCTGCTACCAAGTAACTAACATATATATATTAACTTAACATATATTAACTTAACCTCATCCGCTCTTTACCTAATATTCAGGATATTAAGAAAGCTATGCACTAGAAATGAGCCTGCGTCATGCATTGAACACTTCCGGAGCAATACGAATGGCTTTACTTGCTTGAGGCACAGCGGAGCAAAATTGAAGATCTAGTATTACGTGTGGTCCTTGCATCGGCAGGGTAGTGATGGGTTGGCGTTTGCCTATTGAAGTTAAGGACATGTGAGGTGGTCTAGATTTGAAGCCGGTCGTAATCAAAGTTCGTTTCGTGCTAGGAGTGCTCCACCCGAAGCAATGTTTAGCGGGGAACGTAGAGTACGACACATTCGACATCTAACTATCGTATCCACAGGTCTGTGATTATCATTGTGCTCACAGTAATGGCACTCGTTTCCATTTTGGAAGCAGCCCATAATTGGGGCAATCTGCTGTCTCGCTACTTTCAATCGAAGTGTTAGGTGCAAACAAACTCGAACTCGACTACTGGAGTATTACGGATTCGAATTTCCCGGTTTCGGGTCTGGCAAATACGCATGGCAGATAACCACTAGTTACTATATCCGATTGTGGATCTTAGCTTCATCATGTTGACTAGTTTGTGCTGAATTGAATCTTTAGCGTATATAAGTCGTTATAGTTATTAAAAAGTACCTTGTGTATACGTACTGAATTAGCATGGCGAAGTCGCGCTTTTATCGTTCGCCTTCGTTAGCGTGGCGGACACTTAAAAGGTTAGGCTACATAGAGACAATTGTCCATAAACACTTAATATAATAGAATAATGACAAGAAAAAAATTCTACAGTACATAGGATAAGTTACGATCTAAGAATTTGTCTTTTGCGTGAAGCAAGTATATCGCATTAGGAAACTTACTCCTTTTCGACCGACGATGAACTTACATGACGTGCAGATTAACTGTGCATTTCTTATTCATTGATTACGCAGTCGGGCTTCCGTATTCCCTGAGTCCCTTGTCAAACGGCTGTGGTCTGACGCTAATTAATGCTAATATACCTGTATACTTTCCCCTCAAAATAAAACTATTTGTCTAATCCTATGGAAGTCTGCTACTGATTCGGGCTTACAGCTTCCGTACAGCGTACTCCGGACCACATATCCTTCACGTCTACCCGCGTTCCTTTACTAGTAATCTCTTTTGCTCTGCAGGGTTCGATACGCTAACGAAGAGGAAAAGCACGTCCGGTTAGCCTTTCTAATACGTTGCACGTACGTAGTAAGAGATATATTTTCAACAAAAGAGACAAGTTTCGTCTGTTGGCCAGTTCGTGATCAGTGAAGTTAACATCTCGCCGTTATTTATTTGGACAGTTAGGTAGTCTTCACTATGGTGCTTGTCATAAACGATTTCGCTTCAACTAGGATTGAACTGCGTTTTTGATTAATTAATCATAACAAACGAAAAATCTTGCAGGAAAAAAAAACGAGAAAAAATGAGTAAATTAGGTTTTTTTTTTCTAGAATCACACCTGGAGAGTCCCACAAATAGGATAGTTTTCGGATTTGTTATGGAAAAATTTAATTTGTGCTGAAATTGTCTGTACAAAAATCTGTTCCTGAACAGCTATATTTCTGAATTTCAATCAAGTATTTTTGCATACATATGATCTATTATTTTCTTCCATTCGAAGTCCGTCCGTCATTCTATAGTCAATTGAATTTTTTACTCGTTCCGGTATCTGGATCGTGTGTGATAATTCGCTGATTCACATACATCACAATCGAAAATAATCTGTAGAACGAATTTGGCTAAATCCAGTGAATTCGGATTAATCTGCTCAAATGGTAGCGGCTGTCTTCACATAAGCCAAATCTTCAACTTGATAATTAGATTTTCACGGTTTGATCCACCATCAATTAACTGAAGATGCACGAGCACGAAGAATGTCATATCGTTCCTGTTGGCGGTATAATTTTTATTAGTTATACGCTTAAGTTATTTAAACATGACCAGAGTAGCCTTTATGTATGCAAACGCAACAGATAGCAACCTGTGATATTTGCATACGAAAATCAAGGCTCCTTTATTTGCGAGGAAATTTTTCGCTGATCAGGTAAGTTGTATGCGTATCTCTTCAACTGGCATCACTATCCGAGCATTTGAGACTCCACTATAGATCCTAATAATGGAGTATCAAACTATAATTAGCTGTTTCCCCTCTAAGCGTGTGCTCGCCAACGGCATTTAAAGATCACACGGAAAACTTTAGGTTAGGTAAAATAACGAGCATATACTCCGTTTCGTGTCGCGGCTTTTAGCGACAACAGGATTGAGGTATATGAGGCGTTCATTCAAACCAGAAATTATTTCATCAAATACACAGAGATTCATGTTAGATTCTATAGACAATGGACTGTTAATGTTTAATTAAAGCATTGAACAAATTGATTCGTAACACGGCGAAGGCACGCACGCAGCTAAAGGTAGATTGTGCATAGCCGTACTTTAACCCATTTTTCTACAGATCATGCTTCCGCTACAGAGGAGCCATTGTTACGACAAGTACCAGTTAGGAATACAATAAGTCCGTTTATAAATCGCTATATGAGCGATATATCTATAGTCCATGTAGCAATTTATATATAGTTGAGGACTGACGAGGTAGATAGCGGCCGATCATCCCGTTTACTGAATCATAGCAAATAGCAGTGGATCATTGAAATAGTCACATTCGTCGAGGCGATGGCGGTTTCCACCGTTGACTGTAATATAATGAAGTTCTGCGTAAACATTCATTGATTTGATATGTTTTGCGTTATGTATTGTTAGCATTCGGCAAACTTAATAAATCTACTAGGCTCACTTCTGAGCCTTGTTGAGTCTCAAAAAATTGAGCTGTTTAAAATATAGTGTCCTATAGAAATTTTTCTAGGCAAAACATATACGGTGAAGACAATAAACCTTTTTTTTTTTGTCAAATAAAACATCTACATAAACGTAGAAGTAATAAAGGGAAGCATCTCCAAAGGGCATTTCCATCGTGGCCATCCGACGAAACAAATAATACGCGTTCTAAAAAAATCGATCCGAAAACATTTGCCTTCATCACTTTCTATTATCGGCCAACAGTACGTTAATGTTAAACGTGACGAATCACAGCAAAGAACCCAGTTTTATTCAGGTGTTTGCCAATAAAATTTTAAGCACTCTGCCGTCGCAGAAAGTATGAACGCAAAGGGTCAATGTAGAGCATTAGCGATTATTGCATCACGTTGTTGCATCATTGATGTCGCCTCCAGCCACTGGACCTTCTAATCGGCTATTCTATCGATTGTTATTGATACAGTTTCCCTTTGATAGGAAAGACATCACAACTCGACCCCCCTTAGCTCACGTTTACCCTCGCCGAAGGGCCGCCGGTCGTCTGAGGCAAACTGTCGACGCTGGCGTAGAGTGAATGCATTGTGGCCCTGGCCAGATTCGTGCATATAAAATAGGCTGATCCTTTATGAACGGCATCGTTGCAGTAGTAACGGCAAGCAAAATACAATAATATGCTTGCTTCTGTAAGTAAAGCTCACTTTAGAGAAATAATCGCTGAGGACAAAAATACGTTCTGGCCGGTAGAGGACATAATTTTGCGTAACATACGAAACATATTCGTACCATTTTGGAACGTGGCATCAACCGCTCAGGATAAATATAAAGCGATAGTGACTTAGCAAAGATACACAAACAATATGGCTAGCTATGTAACGACTGGACTACTAGGAAAACTTCAGACTGTACAACATACGTTCATATATGTATATCTCAAGCATCGTAAAAGGTGCAATAACACTTAGCTTTATACACTTGTCGACATCTGTACATTCAATTGTCTTACTGGACAAACAACAATTCTAACTAATTAAATTATCTTGACTCCGGTAACCATCGTCCGTGCATTTAACAATTTGCTTATATCTAATACGAACGCACTCGTAATATTCTGTTTTGTTTAAATAGCTATCTTCATTAACGTATCATGGAAGTAAAGTAGGCACAGTAGTTCGGTGCTCTTTGTGTAACTTTTAATTCAAGCTCTCATTTCATTTTTAGCGAACCACGGCTGTGATGGCTTACCTGGCTATTTCTGTCTCGGCCGGCGGACACGAGCGTGTTGGCTTAAATCACAAAGGTGCACTTACGCACGGCCATGGCGGCTTTGATCTTGGATACGGCCATGGATCTCTATACGGCTATGGTCTGGGTGGCATGTCGTATGGTTTAAACTATGGCAAAACAACAGGAGGATACCGTAAGAAAACAGTAGCATTAGCTAAGCCCGCGACAGTCGGTTACAATGATCCTGTACATGTACACGGTGCGATCTTCGGAAATTATGGATTAAGGGGGTATGGCTTTGAACTTTTGGGTCGTGATGCCGGACATCATGGAAGTCACGAAATCTACGACAAGGCCGTCGCCACCGTTCCCATTTCTATTGAAAAGGACTACGGACATAGCTTGACGCTTGGTGGTCACGGATTTGCTAAACTAAGCCACAACGGTGGTGGCAGTAATGGGGTTGCATTGGGTCACAAAGCCGTTGCTATTACGCAGCCAGTCACTTACGGTGGTTATGGTCACAGATATGGATTTGCTCTAGGAGGTTATGGAAGTGGTGATCTTGCCTACGGATGCAATGGCTATGGAAAAACTACTGCTGTCACTCCACCCATATTTATCGGAAAGGGTCACGGAGGCATTGTCCTTAAACACGGTGCTGGTTTAATTGGTCTCGGTCGTGGAAAACTTGACGAATATAGTGGAAAATCAGTCGCTATTATTTCTGACGTCGTCGGTAAAAGCTACGGAGGTCACGGCTTCGGGCATGACTCTGGAATTGTTCTCTCTGGACACGGTCAGTTCCTGGGCGACTATGGTGGCTATAATAATGATAAGTTACTATATATATATATATGTAAGTTATAACAATAGTTAACCGAAATGAGATGAATTGAACGATAAGTTGCGGAAACAAAAGTGCTTTGTAAAATATGTGTGCTTTTAAAAAATGTTCAGTGTACTCAGCGATTATCATGTTGGAGGGGAGACGCTTGTCTTTAGGTATATTCCAAAAATTTAGCATTTATGGCGAATCTTTTATGTTTACAAGGTAATAGACGTCTCACGTGTTATTTCGTTTCGTATCATTGCAGATATTGAGCATGGCACTCCTGTGATCTCGGGAATCGTTAAAGCGGGTGTTCCTGTTTCATTCGTTCATGAACAGTAGGAAGACGGATGTATCGAAGGAGATGAAACTAGCTTCCATTTAGCCTAATCATTTGTACACATTGTTCATATACATACGCTGCTGTGTTAATTAGTACTATTAATTAACTAATACATTAATGTTAATAATTAATAAATTAGCATGTAATTGACAAGTCAAACTAGCAATTAAGGTTACCTATAGGTACATGCCCGTTACGTAACGATACGCCTAACCAGAATCAACTGAAATAATTTTAGCGTGGAAGCACTTAATTATTTCGCATTAGAAAATTTAAGAATCCTTAACAATATCACTAGAAAGAAACAATAGTTGTTTAACTTCTGTCCAACTTCTGCGAAATAATTGCCAAGTTGTTCTTATATAGTAAATGTGATTTTCTAACTTGATTGATTTTGGACACAATGATAGCAGCTATAAATACGGCCTACTGCTTATTTTATAACGACTTTTGTTGGGAGCTTTAACTCAGAAAGAAACTTTACTACCAGGGAAGCCCCTGCTCAAAAAATATGCAATTGATTATCAAAGTGTTTCGTTTTACACAGGTTAATCTTCAATGAAAGCAATCAGCCTGGCTTCAGTGTCTAATCACAAATCCAAAGCCTAATTTGTATCGTTGTTTTCGCTTAATAAGGTATAGAATTGTGTATATGCCTGTTGTTTTTGCCTCCATGCTCGTCTCTGTTTATACGCCGCAGTATACGGTCGCTGCTGTCTGGGATCCGATGGCAACACCGAAGGGCAAATGTTTCCCTCCCATACTAACCATGGAAAGAAAGAAACCTATCCGTCGTTTCGGGAGCAACGTCGGCATCTCCTGGCGTCCTCTTGCCCTTAGTTGTGCTTTGTTTTCTGATCTGACGCCATGGGTTTCCGCGGCAGTTTTCCTCGGTCATGGAGCGCCCCGGGGCTATTTCAGCAATCGTTCCCTCGTCCGTTCCGCCATAGCCCCTGCCTCGGCCATCATTCCGAACCCCTTTTCGTTTCCACTTCTGAGTAAGCAAACACATTTTTCATGCTGTTTGGCCAGAGTTCGTACATACGTTGCTAATGTGTGTATTCGTTCCGCGTTTACGCTTACTTGGATCTACCAAGGAGAAGAATACGTTTTCAATACCTATATACATATTGTGCCCTGCCTGTGAAAAAACTAGAACGTGCTCCTATCCACGACGGTGTATCTCGATCGTACTCTCATTTAGAGCAGGCGGTTACGCTCTTGATTTCGGCCTTGCCGTTTCTCAGACCGTTTCCCGGGACTGTCATGTGAGATATGTTGTTTAATAGCAATTTATACAAGCATATCGTGTCGGCCCACTGCAGTTACGACATCGGCGTTGTTGTTACTGTAGCCGGTGGCCGGAAGTAAGTTCAGCGGATTGAATTGTATTTATCTTCACATAAGTACGTTTCTTCTGTCTGATCTTCTCTTTTAGCCTCACCCGGCGCACACGGTAATCAGTTCCATTCGATGTTGTACTGTTTGTACTAGCCCTGTTACTGACGATGCAAATGTTTATTTTGTCGTGCAACGACACTAGCAGATATCCTACATCAAAGAAAATTAAGAAACAGATCATCGAAACGTCCTAAAAATAAGCATAGGAATCAATACAATTTAGATGAAAGCTATAATGTATTCAGTGAGCTATTCCTGCGTTGATATTGATTTCGTATTTGCAACGGTGGATGATTTTTCGTCGCGATGCGTATGACCATTTTGCAGAAGGGGCTAACGTGTAGTAGACTGGTACTTCGACTTTCTATTTAATGTCGGAATATTTGATTTTCAACTCTGTATACTTAGCATCACACTGTAGTGTCTGTGAGTTTGTATAAAGTCTGTGCACTTCGTTTTATTATTAGAGGATTGCGACGGAACTTTTGCCAGCTTTCGTTCTCGTATTCTGTAGAACTAAATCAGAGTGAGCTAATGGCGTCATCGTGCCAGACTTACATGCAGTTCTGCATAGCGTGAATCTTTTGAAGAATTGTCAATGATTCTCGGCTAACTTTGTTTTACTAGGGCGATCTCGTTTCGTTCAAAACGAGCTTTTCATTACCTATTAGGGGAATTTAGTGCGAATCATTTCTAACTTTTAGTTTGACTTTTTCGTATAGGGCTCAGCTTTCGGCGGTATTATTTTATTATAGAACGGGTATCGCGCGTTCGCTGGAACGGCAACCCGGGCTCCTAAGCGGTTTCGAGCGATCAACGAAACGCAGTGATCGCTTTCCGATAGGGGACAAAATTACTTGATATATATGAACGATCATTGGCTAGCCGATAGCGCTGACTGTCTGATTATAACAACGACACTTTTGCCTACGATAGGTTTCATCGCGTGGGGTCACTGGATGCATTGCTATATCATATTGATTCTCCCATCGTCTTATTGCATAGTAGATAGGATCCATCGGGAGATCTTGACACGGTTAGATAAAGAGGTCATTATTGAGGAACCTATTAAAATTTATACAACGTTGTAGCAAAATATTGGAAGTTAGAAAAACCTGTATGTGGGAAACTCCTAGGATAGGGTAAGATTTATGTAGTATTGATGAGGCTATCTGTTTCATGGCTACGTTGTAAACCTGTTACTTATAAAATTGACAGTTTATTTTGCTTCTTCGTTATTGGCGTGTTGTGCTGGAGCCTTGTACTTGCCACCAAATTGGTTCGTCGATAACTATGGCTTTATGAAGCGCTGCATCTCGTTGAAAAATTTGCATCTTACAGATTAATCTGAATCAATCGAATGGAATTTCAGTGAAACAATGTTTTTATTATTTATTACGATTTTTTATTTTACTAACAATAAAAAATTAACTGAAGATAGGTTTGCTTTAAGCCTATCTTTCCGAACCTCTTTGAACTGACGACGGGCGAGAGCTAGGAAACCGTTTCTATAGGGCAAATTTACTTCCTATTGAATCAAGTTGTTGGAACTTAATTTGGTATGATTTGCTTTAATCCAACGAAGTTTTACTCTAAAATCGAAGCTATCATAAATGCTAAAAAATCTCTAATACGAAAAATATATAAAATGTCTCTCTTCTTTTTAAGGTTGTTGCTTCGCCATGTATTTTAGAAATAATATTCGTTCAGTACTACTTGATAATATAGATATTGGCGAATGTTTATCCAGGCTCGTTTGGTCAAGAGCATCCAATGGACAGATTTTTTGGAGAAATAAGGAAAATACTCTAGAGTCTGTTCAGTTTTTGGTAATAGTCACTGACGACGATGCTAGGTTGCTGTATAATTATAAGGAGGAGTCACGCGTATCGGCCACCATTGGTTCCGTCCTTTCGGTGCTAGTCCCCTGGCTAGAGGCTGTTTCAGGGTTTGCAATACAGGTAAATGCGGTAAGGCAGTTGTACATTCAACGCAACTGTGTGATGTCGATCGTCCATGTCGTTCCATTATACCAGTTTTCCAATCCGACGAACGACCCCGGATGGGTAGTAGCGCCGTAGAAGAAAGTTTGCTACATCAATACCTTCTGCTTGTGGCGGCAATAGGGACCTTTCCAGCGGGGAGGGGGCTTCTAATGTCGAAGTAAAACTGTGGCCCCGCGTGGTATGTTGTGTACGTACGGCGTGGATAAGGGGAAAGGCGAGCTCTGCAGGCGTGCTGGTGGCGTCATTGTCACAAAGAACTATCCATCCGTGAAACCAGCAAGGCAATCCGAGGCGACAAGGTAAGCCAGTCAGGCAAAGCTTTAAACTGAAAAGAGATAAGCCGAGCCCAACAGTAGCAGGGCCCCCGTCTGTACGCAGGCGAGAGTGTGGTGTGGGGAGAGTTGAAGCACAATGTATGCCGGCTGGTCCACTATTGCAGAACTACACCGAAAAAGAAAAAGAATTATCAGTTACCCCAGTCGCCACATATTCTATATTTTCGCGCGGAATTTCTATGGCACATAAAGGATGACATGAATGGGAAGTTGCGCGTCGACGTGAAGAAGTGAAATCGGACCAGATTCTGTAAATATGTCATGTACAACGGCCTAGTCAACGGTGACCAAATTGTCATAAAGCTAAAAAAAGGAAGCAAATATATCGATCGTTAGAGCAAACGATAATGCTTGTAGCTGCTATTGTCGTGCTACCAGAATTACGTAGTTTATATAGAACATCTGAGTCCGTTTTGTTAGAAAGCCCCCAATATCTTCAGCTGTTCAAAAAATCATTGACGCATCGTCGGCAGCCTGCATGAAATGAAGTAACTCGGTGCTGTCGTCGCCGCAGAAACGATGCCAGCGGGTGCGGTTACATGTGAAGAGACTCTGACGCCTAAAGCCTTAGTAAATAAGCAAACAACGAATTACCTTGGACGATCATTGGAGTGGGCCCGAAGGACAGGTAAAGGAAACACGTTTTGTTCACGGAGGAAATATTCTTTGGCAGAAACCAAGAGAAAGATAAATTGTTTTATTGGCAGTTTAAAATGGGCTCAGACAAACTGAGAAACCTGCTTTATATACAACTATATCTAATAAACTATTGCTTTCTTTCAGTTAAGTGTTATATTTCTGTCTTATAGGATCATGCACATTTGAGTATATTTTGTCTATTTTAAGCGCACATTCGAAACTTACGTTTAGGTTGCATCAGCAAAAATACGTGAGCTGAGCATTCATCATGACTATTTCTGCGTGTATGCCCGTTATATGTCAACATTGTCCTGGAGACGCTTGGCTCTTTTTAGCCATTTTAATCTTACTGTATCCCTGGCGCTTACTGGTTAAACCTTCCAGTTCAACATTGCCTGTGATCAGTGCGTACAGCGTCTATGTATGCACCAGCCGTAATACGCATCGCACAGGTTTATTTCCGAGAGCAAGATAAACCAAATCTGGACAAAGATCTTCGGTTTTAGCAGAAATCATCAAGACTTTCAAGTTCACTGCTTTTTAATGCAGTTTTTCAATCTTATTCCCGAGACTTGGGCAGCTTACGCGCAAACCCGGTCGGACGCACCGGATGAGCAGTTAGACAACAAAAGCAAGATTAGTTCTAATCTCTCTTCCACTCAACTCCCGGTGAAAATGACAATTTGCTAATAGCTTTCGACTGGCTCATGCAGTATAAAACTGGAACTACTACAATCACTGGGGTAGCAGTGTCCTCTATGCCTTTACGCTTGCTACCAAAGCGAA